GCTTGTCATTACGAAGTGAATTTCATGTTGAGTTTTCTGGCCATCTTGAAGACCTGAGAATGACAGAAAATAATCTGTCTTTTGGTATTCTCACTGGTCACATCTGATGTTGGCAATCTACATGAATTCCAACTCAAGCTTATCAAGTTGCAATGTGGTCCATTGCTTACAAAACTGCTCCCCGAGCTATACCTCTCTCAATGAATAAAGCTTTTCAAAGATCAAGTTCATGTCCAGAAGATGGCTGTGCTGTTTGGACCAACATGCATCTGTCAGTAGACACTTTCTCTGTTGAAATTCAATAAATGAAGGTACAGACTGTCAATCAGTGAATAGTACTTTGCCGATGTGCTCTGCATTGCAACAATAGAAATGGTACTGACTTCAATTCTTAATTCACGTCAGAAGTTTCATTGTTCCCATCCATGGAGTCCTTTTCTTCTTTTTCTTTATCCCAACATTCAATGTAGAAGTGTAAGAATATAATTGAAGATACTATGTAATCATGTCTTTACACATTACTCAAAAAAGGACAAAAAATATTCTTTGAAATAAATTAAAACTTTTTTTATTGATAGTTTGCATTGAATTGTTTTTCCTCTATAACTGTTAAAATATCATCTGAAAATTCATAACCATTTAAGGTAACAGTTGGTGAGTACCTTGTTTTACATTTTTGTGGTACACTATCAATGGCTAAGAAATGTTCTGAGTAGATCTGCGTCAGATATTTTTAATTTACTCGTGGAAACTGGGTGTCGCTGGCTGGCCAGCATTTATTGCTTATCCTGAGTTATCCTCAAGAAGATGGTGGTGAGCTGCCTTCTAGAATTGCTGCAGTCCACGTGCTGTAGGTAGACCCACAATACTGATTGTGGGAGGGAATTCCAGGATTTTAACCCAGCAACTCTGAAGGAATAGTGACATATTTACATTAGGATGGTGCTTGGCTTGGAGTGGAACTTGAAGGTGGTGCCCCCTTCCCTATAATGAATCAATCACTATACTATTTAACATTAATAAAAGTTACTTGTAGAAAGCAATCTGTACATATTTCAGTCTGCCTCTCTGTTCCTGCAACAGTATTACAGGATTGAGGCAGAATGAAAACAATGTTCTTCCTGCACTGTCAAGTTCTCAACACAGAATTACAGCAGTATCCTACACTGTCATTAGCTAACATGAGCTAGTTATTTTATAAATAAAGTAAATTTAAGGGAGACCGAGAGAGACCATTTGAACAAATGAGAGAGAGAATTCCAAGACTGTAGTCGCCAAAAGACTTCCAATGGCTTTTGTTTGATTTAGTTTCCCTTTTGTTTGAAATCCCTTCTTTGGAATTCTGACTCAGTAGAATAGACTTCTTCCCCATTTCTGCAGCCTAACACCAGTGTGTTGGAATGCCTATACATTGAAAATTAGCAAATACATATTCATGCAGCATCATCAAATAGAATTTCATGACTGCGACTAGTACATTGAAATGTGATGGCCGCTCAATTCAAAACACCATGCAGTCCAGAATCAAACAGCAGACTTACAACTCAGAGGCATTCTTTGCTCTACGTATATCTGCGGTTGCTTCAATAACCTTTTGTCTTTAAAAATTTATTCTCAGGTTACGGAAATTTCTGGAAAACTGCCAGTTATTCTCCACTCGTGATGGGCCTTATGAAGGTAGGAATATACTTCTGAATGCTGCGGTGAAGGTACCTCCATTAATTCTGTTTGCTTGGATGTTCCAAGATTTTGACCCAATAATGATGAAGAATATGTCTAACTCAGCTAGACATCAAACTTAGAGAAGGAACAAGGGTATTAGTATTTGCATGTGAGAGGCGGTTGTGATGTTTAGGGTGGTAGATGTGGTGCCAATCCAGCAGAATGCTTTGTTCGGAACAGTGTCCAGTTTCTTGAACACTGCATTAATTCAGGCAAGTTGGGAATATTCCTTCAAAGTCCCGACATGTCCCTTGTAAGTAGTGAAGAGAATTTGAGGAATCCGCAAGTGAATCACTACAAAAGGATTTCTTGCCTCTGACCTGCACTAATAGCTGTGCCATATATGTGGCAAGTCCAGATGAGTTTCCTGTCAACATCAACCCCACAATGTTAGTAGATGGGGATTTGGCAAGTGTCATAACGATAACTTATATTAACGTAATAAAATGTCTCAAACTGCTTCATAACAGCATTATGAAACTAAGCCACATGAGAGGACATTAGGTGAGGTAACCAAAGATTTGGTCAAAAAAGTCTATTTTAAGAAATGACTTAAAGGAAGAATGCAAGGTTGGGAAGTGGAGAGGTGTAGGGACGGAATTCCAGAGTTTACGGCTTAGGCAAGTGAAGGCACAGCTGCCAATGGTGGAATAATTATGATTGAGAATGCATTAGATGCCAGAACTGGAGGGACGTAGGATTGGAAGATATTGTAGTGGCAGGGATGAGCTAGGCCACGGAAACATTTGAAATCAAGGATAAAAATTTGATGGGATCCATTGAAGAACAGGGATAACAAAGGAACAGGCCTTATTGCAAGTCAAAACACAGGCAGCTGAGTTTTGGATGACATCATGTTAATGGAGGGTAGAATGTGTTAGACTAGCTTAAAATACATCTAAATAGTCAAATCCAATGAGCTGACATAGGGTAAAGGTAAGCAATGTTACATAGGAGGTAAAAGATGATCTTCACGATGAAACAAATGTGCAGTCAGAAGTTCAACTAAGGATCATCTCAGGGTGCAAACAGATGGGTTTAATTTCAGACTGTTGCCAGGGGGAGGGATGGAGTCAGTCGTTAGGGAACAAAGTCTGAGGAGGGGCCAAAAGCAATAGCTTTAGTCTTCCTAATATTTAATTGGGAGAAATGTCTATTCATCTAGTACTGAATGTCAAATAAACAGTCTGAACATTTAGCAACAATGGACTAGTCAAGAAGGGTTGTGGGGAGGTAGAGCTAGGCGCCAGTACACTTGTGAAAACTCATGCTATGCCTTGTAAAGTTACTGTATGTCAAAAGAAGATGGTTAGATTTTCTCTTGTTGGAAATGGCACAAACGTTACCTGCCCAAGCCCGAAAGTTAATCAGGTCAGGCTGAGACAAAAACAAAATTGCTGGAGAAACTCAGCAGGTCTGTCAGCAGCCCGTGGAGACAAACCAGAGTTAAGATTTCGAGTCCAGTGACAAGAACAGCTTCACTGAACGAGGAACTGCAAACTGAACTGTTTGCAATCATAGTTGAACTTTCCAGGTTCTGAGTTTATAATGAAAGAGAAGTCATTGCCACAGCAGCAGAAAATAGTTGTCTCTTAGGATGCTCCCCTGAGGAAATCATGCAGCATCCTCCCAGGGATGAGATAATTTGTTTTATACAAAAAATAAAGCCACATGTCTAAAGATTCACAATATCCAACATCCATTAAAATAATTAGAATTTAATCATTGACAAAGCACAATGGAGATTACCATACTCTACATAAATAATAAAGTACAGAAGAGTCATTTCACATGTGAACAGAGCTGAAAGTACACGCATATGCATTATGGATTTGGGGCAGTCCTGAATGGCTGATGTAATCTTGATCGGCTAGTCAATGGTGGTTTTTAAATGCTAGTTATTTGCTAATTAACTTTAATCATTCTTTCCACTTTTCCCTTTTATGCTTGAGTTCCTCCTCAGTGCCAAGACAAACTGGAGCTGATTACCACATGTACACGGGCACCCATCTCTTATAATGGGATGGGTCTGGGTGGGATGCTCTGAGGATTTGTTGGGCCGAAGGGCCTGTTTCCACACTGTACGGATTCTATCATCTATGACCACCCGCTCATCTTTTGCACCTCTGTCTTGCAACTGGACTATCAATGACAGAATTTGGTCACATTTTCTGGCTCACTTTTCTACTGAGGCATTTTAAAACTCTGAAAATGAGGGGAAGAATTGGAGCAACTTAATTTTGTTAGATGAACTCACAACTCTGATACAGAATATTGTGGGTTCAAGACCCACAGGGAACACTGGAACACAGTATCTATGCATGACAAATTATCAGTGCTGTACTCTAAGACTGATGCCGTCCTTACACAAGAGAGTGAAAGAACCCAGGTACTTGTTCAAGTGATTATGTTAGAAGAACATCAAAGAAATCTCCAATTACCATGACAAATATTTCCTTTTGGTCATCACCAACACAAATAGATTAGCTCAACTTTCATCTCACTGCTGTTTTCGACACAATGCCGTAGACAAGATGGCTTGCATTTGTCCACAAATCAACATCTCCGATGAAAACTTATTTCTTCAATACCTTTCATTGAGGTAGAATAAGGTAAATACAAGCATTTTCCTACAATACCTCTCATTACATCAATGATTCTCATTTATTAGGAACACTAACAATAGAGGGAGGAGAGCAAAACACTTTCACAGGCACATTAATAAATCACTATAACAAATAAACTTCACTTTAGAGGTATTTGGTAGCTTTAGCACCTGGTGTAAGATTGAAACTACGAACTGTTGAAAACTGTGGGTCCCATAGAGACATAAAAAGAAAATCTCAACACGACCCTTATTATAAGGTATAAGATACCCAACGTTCTGTATCTTCTTTTGCAATCGTAAGCTCTTATACCTGGCAGCAATTAATGTATGGCAGTACCACGCTGAACTAAATAGTAGTTATTTCAACCCAACCGTGGCTCAACCAAATGAATAGAACTCTTATCACTCCATTTTCTCCACATTCATGCCAACTACGAGCATTTCACAAAGATAATCAGCATTCAAGGAAGGCGCCATCAGCGTGTCTCCATTTATCAAGACAATTCGGTCTCATCCAAGCTTTAGATGCCCTGGTAATTTTATAGTTATTTTAATCAACCTGTTTGGATATGTTATGACATACCTCTGGGAATTGAACAGAGGTAGGAACACTATCACTGAGCCACAATACTTCCTGATAATTAATATACTATTATTTATCAAAACTCACCTCATTCTGCCTGTTGCAGTGCCTGGTACTAATGATGACTCCAGCCTCTTCTATCATTTTCAATATTGTACCTCCATGAACATTGCCTGCAATATTGGCATCATCGGGACGCATGATCCTGTAATTGTCACAAAGGTGGCCAAAGATTAAAATCAAAATTTATTTTGAAATGTAAATAATAACAAAGTATGCTGAAAGTTCAGAGTAGGACATCACCCAATTGTGTATTTGATGTGATGCAGTCACTAATGAGTACTATTTCTAATCTAACGTTCTACATTCACTGTTTATGCTGAAGCTTCACTACAATAGGGAGACTAAATTCCAATTAGCTGAGTCCCACATTTTCACTCAAGGTTCACATTCAGAAATTTTGCACCATTCCACACCACAGACATGAATCTGCACCTGTAACTCCGCACACAGGATCTTAGGACTGCGATGGCAATTTCTGAGGTCTCTTCTTTACACTCTAACTGCTAGGTTTGAAGAACAAAACACCAAGCCCAGATAGCATTTTGGGGTAACCATTAGCAAAGGGGCCCGAATCCTCTCAAATTAAGGTTTTCCCATTAATAAAGTTATAAACTCCATCTCTTATTTCGTTACAAATTTTACAAGGCAACTTCTCTAAAGTCACGCGACTTCCAGTAAATCCATGCATGAAAGTGTTATCTTCATTTCCAAGAAATCATGTGATAAAAAAACCCTTATAAACCTGAGAATTTCCAAATAGTCCAAAATCTTCCAGTATTTCCCAGATAACCTTTCAATATAAAAACGTATTCCCAACAAGATGTAGAAAATGAGAGGTTCAAGGACAGATTCAACTGTGGTAGTGAGAAGTCTTTACGAGCTGAAGTGAGTCAAATACAGCCAATAAGGGACTCTGGATGGTTCACCACAACATGTTACCATTATATTCTACAGAATCTAGTCACAGTTTGTGGCCAACTCAGTTTCTTATCATCCTAATCAAAGCAAAATCATCAGCGATACAACGCCATTTAATTTTTCAGTCGACATTTTGGAAGTGTCTAACTGCAAATACTAGACAGGTAGAAGATTAGTATACATGAATAGATTAATTTATATTCATATTACTCCCCTCACAGAGGAATGACTTAGGATGCAGTAGAGAAAAGGCATACACAACGGTAACTTTTAAGTTGATATACATATTCACCAACAGCGTCCCTTCAGAACTTCTATTGAACATACAAGCTACAGTAGCTTTGTTTACTGTACCTGATTATCGTCGTCATTGGAAGGTTGAGGTGTCACAATTGAACCAAAACTTTAAAAAAAAACTGTCACTGTGAAGTAGGAAGTATCTGCTGTTAAGTTCTTCAAGGAGCAGGCTGCTAAATACAGTAAACCACAAATACTCTAGTCAGAAGCTTTATCCTCTGTTTGTGCAGCTTCTGATGTCATTCTTGATGTTGCAAATTCCACAGAAACCACCCACAAACTACTTGCATAATTTTGCATGAGATTTGATTGTCTTTCCTCGTCATAAATCAGATGGAGAGAGAATAAGCACCAAACGAGACAGGCTGCTGCAAACTCATTGTAACTGAATTCAAGCAAATGAAAGAGACAACAAGGTGCAGGGCTGGATGAACACAGCAGGCCAAGCAGCATCATAGGAGCAGAGAGGCTGACGTTTCGGGCCTAGACCCTTCATCAGAAAAGGGGGAGGGGAAGGGGGTTTTGAAATAAATAGGGAGAGAGTGGGAGGCGGATAGAAGAGGGATAGAGGAGAGGATAGGTGGAGAGGAAACAAACAGGTCGAAGAGGCGGGGATGGGGCCAGGAAAGGTGAGTGTAGGTAGGGAGTTAGGAAGGGGATAGGTCAGTCCAGGGAGGACGGACAGGTCAAGGGGGCGGGATGAGGTTGGTCGGTAGGAGATGGAGGTGCGGCTTGGGGTGGGAGGAGGGGATAGGTGGGAGGAAGAACAGGTTAGGGAGGCAGGGACGAGTTGGACTGGTTTTGGGATGCGGTGGGGGGAGGGGAGATTTTGAAACTTGTGAAATCCACATTGATACCATTGGGCTGCAGGGTTCCCAAGCGGAATATGAGTTGCTGTTCCTGCAACCTTCGGGTGGCATCGTTGTGGCACTGCAGGAGGCCCAGGATGGACATGTCGTCTGAGGAATGGGAGGGGGAGTTGAAATGGTTCGCGACTGGGAGGTGCAGTTGTTTGTTGCGAACCGAGCGTAAGTGTTCTGCAAAGCGGTCCCCGAGTCTCCGCTTGGTTTCCCCGATGTAGAGGAAGCCACACCGGGTACAGCGGATGCAGTATACCACATTGGCAGATGTGCAGGTGAACATCTGCTTGATGTGGAAAGTCTTCTTGGGGCCTGGGATGGGGGTGAGGGAGGAGGTATGGGGGCAGGTGTAGCACTTCCTGCGGTTGCAGGGAAAAGTGCCGGGTGTGGTGGAGCTGGAGGGGAGTGTGGAGCGGACAAGGGAGTCACGGAGAGAGTTGTCCCTCCGGAAAGCAGATAAGGGTGGGGAGGGAAAGATGTCTTTGGTGGTGGGGTCGGATTGCAGATGGCGGAAGTGTCGGAGGATGATGCGTTGGATCCGGAGGTTGGTGGGGTGGTACGTGAGGACGAGGGGGATTCTTTTTTGGTTCTTATTGCGTGGACGGGGTGTGAGGGATGAGGTGCGGGAGATGTGGGAGACACGGTTGAGGGCGTTCTCGACCACCGAGGAGGGGAAGTTACGGTCCTTGAAAAACGAGGACAACTGAGATGTACGGGAGTGGAATGCCTCATCCTGGGAGCAGATGCGGCGGAGGCGAAGGAATTGGGAATAGGGGATAGCATTTTTGCAGGAAGGTGGGTGGGAGGAGGAGTATTCTAGGTAGCTGTGGGAGTCGGTGGGCTTGAAATGAATATCGGTTTC